GCCTCAGGCCTGGGTGAGGTTAATCCCAGGAAGTGAATCTGGAGTGAGTAGACGGGGGCCAAGGCCAGAGGCCCAGGGAGCACCAACGTTTTGGGAGAAAGAAGAGCCCTTCAAGCTGAGGCTGAGCTTGAGAAAAGTGAAGCAGTGAGCAGAGGATGGGGTACCATGCACTGAGGAGCGCCTGGTGGAGGAGGTCACACCCTGCTAAGAGGAGAGCAGGACACGGGCTGGGAAGGAGGCCCTGGATTTCACAATGTGGGCAGGTGAATTCATCAGTAATTGTCAGAGGGATGTGGTGGAGGAGGAAATGAGGACAGGGAGGGGACACAGCTCTCCGGTGGGAAGAGTGAGGAGTAGCGGCTGGGAAGAGACGTGGAGTCCAGGCAGGGCTCTTATGCATCTCTTTCAATTGTCTTTTTTTGTTTTTTGTTTTTTTTTTTTTTTTGGAGTGCAATGGTGCGATCTCGACTCACTGCAAGCTCCGCCTCCCGGGTTTACGCCATTCTCCCGCCTCAGCCTCTCGAGTAGCTGGGACTCCAGGCGCCCGCCACCTCGCCCGGCTAATTTTTTTGTATTTTTAGTAGAGACGTGTTAGCCAGGATGGTCTCGATCTCCTAACCTCGTGATCTGCCCGCCTCGGCCTCCCAAAGTGCTGGGATGACAAGCGTGAGCCACCGCGCCCTGTCTTCAATTGTCTCTTTAAAACCCCAGTCTGGTTTAGTCCCACTAGGGAGAAAAAGTGCCTTCAGGCCTTCCCACAGCGCCAGCAGCAAGAGCACAGCAGGTGTCCCTTGGGGCTGACGCATCGGGTGCTCGCGGTGGGGGTGGAGGAGCCGTCTGCCCCTGTGCGGGGAGCATTCTCTCACTGACACTGTCTGAATTGCTGGTACATGGTGATCAGAGGAAGCAAACTGACATTTAGTCACTTTTACCGTCTTTTTAAAAATTCTCTACAGTCAGCGCACCCTTTGTTGCCTGTACCAGGGCTCTAGTGGGAAGAGACAGATTGAGTCCCCGGCACCTGGGTGTGCAGCCCTGCTCCTTCCTTCTAGCTGACAGGGCTGGCGAATTCCTACCTCTCTGAGCCCCTTTCCCTTTAGCTCACTGTAACTGAGGGAAATTCTGACCTCTGGGGTGGTTGGGCGGATGACAGCAGAGGAAAGACCCAGGGCCTAGCGCCCAGGAGGTACTTACTAGGTGTCCTTCCCGCATCAGGGAACAGAGGAGATAGTGACTGAGGGCCCCGCAGCGAATGCCCCACCCGCGCAGGCTTCCTCTCAGCGGGACCTGTCCCCACTGCTTCCCCACAGCCCCAGAGGCCAGGCCTGAGCCATTCAGACTCCAGGGAGGTGATCGCAGCCCAGGGCCGCGCCCTGCCTCTGCCGGGCCCCGGGGTCCCCAAGGAAGCACCGCCGCCTGGCCGCACGGGGCAGTTGTCATGGGGATGCCGGGGCCCGCTGAGCCGCCTCCTTAGCAACGGGACTCCCCGGCCAGTTGCCATGGAAACAGCATCCCCTGGCAAGCGGTGATGGGGAACGGCTGCCGGGTTTCCTGCCCTTTTCCGAGGACTTTCCCCTCCTGGGGCGGGAGACACGGCACTCCCTATGCCGGCGGGAGCCGCGGGGACTTGGTTTTCCAGTCGCACGTCGCCGGCCCGGGAGGGGGCCTCTGCCTGACCCCGCGAAGTCCCAAGGCCTGGAGGAACCCTCTAGAGACAGGGGTGGAGAAAGGGGCCACCCGGGGACCAGGCCTAGCCCCTCGAGCAGGCACAGCAGTGGGGAGTCCGTGCCCTGCCTCCTTCCAGAGGCCCCAGATGCTGCTTCTGCCCTCAAGCCCCCACCAACCCACAGAGAAGCCCAGCGCTGTGCCCCCCACCCCTCGGTGACCCCTCTGATGCCCTCCCCCTTGCCCAGTCACCTTCTGTCTCCAGCCATCCTCCCACTTCTGAGAGCTTACCTGATCACACTAAGCTGGCATCCCCCTCTTCAGCATCTAACTGGATGGAGCCCAGGTGCACATTCACCACCCTCCTCCTCCTCAGCCAGCCCTGGCAGTAGGGAGTGGCAAGGGTCTCACACCTCCCCAACTCCTGCGTTTCTCCCCTCCACTAGCAAAGGACACATGCCCACTCACTCTCACCCTCCTCCTTAATGATTCTCACCAGTCCATAATCGCGTGCACACCTGTGTCCACAGCCAGGCCTTGCACATCCCCCGTGCACACCTCTATGCACAGAACACAGCTCCATGCTCTTGCAGGGATAGGTTTGCACATACACAAGGGCCCACATGTGCCCTCTGGGCCATGTCCCCTGCCTTCCACACCCCAGTTCCCAGGACTCCAGGATTCCCCAATGACCTCACCCCCACCCCCATCCCTGGCCCCTAGAAGAAGGCAGCATCTGCTGGAATTTTTTTTATTTAAATAAAATATACAATACGGCGCATTTACCGGTTTCTGTTTTAAAAGTGGAAGATTTGAAAATTCCTTGTAGGTGACTGGGTGTGGGAGGGCCCCCTGCCTGCACCTGGCTGTCCCAGTCTCTGCAGAGTGGCCAGGTTGGGTCAGGGCTGTTATAAAATACATGTGTGTGTTAAGTAGAGAAGAGGGTGGTCAGGCCAGGCTCTGATGGCAAGCAGCCTCCTCACAGCCCTGGACCCTCCACCTTCACCCCTGCTGCCTCCAGGACAAGACTGTGGGTTTGGATCAAGTCCTGCTGCCTCTCAGAGCTGCCTTCCTTAAGGGGAAGGGGTGCGTGCAGAACTCAGGTTGAGGCTAAGTCCTTCCAGTTCTCAGAGCTCCTGAGCCAGCACAGCACAGACCAGTACCAGGCGGCATCTAGTCTTTACCTAAGATCCCAGGAACCTTCACCCACTTCTCTCCTGGAATACTGCCTCCCACTCCCTGCAGCCCATCTATGGAGAAATCGGGTTTTCCCACATCCCAGGATAGCTCAAGGCAAAACCCGATCTTGCCAACATTCTGGCTTGAAGCATGGAATGTTCTGGATGGATAATGTGGGGCCAGCCCATCTCATTATTTGGGGATTGCAGCTATATCTGCTCTGGCCCTATAGGCAGGGGCAGACCCCTGACTTTGCCTCTGGCAGGATCCCATCTGGGAGGAGGGAGGATGGTGCCTCCAAAGGCATCTGAGCTGCTTTCTCGTTCCTGCAATCTGGAACTTGCTTATGGCTCCTAGTTGCCAGGACCAAGCCCAGTCAAGCCCTTAGCCTATCACCCAAGGCCGTCCCTCTGACCCCTCAGCCTGCAGATTCCCTCCCAAAGCCCTAATCCACCACTCCACATCCACCTCAGGAATCTCCCCGCTATATACTCCATCCCACCCACCATTCCCTCCCTCTCTCCCTGTTGAAGTCTTCCCACATCTCAAGGCCTGGCTCCCACCCATCTCTGGCCACACACCTTCCTTGGGCCCTTAGGGAGGCCCAGCCACCTCCTGAGTCCTGAGATTTTAAGTCTTGGAGCCCTCAGCCAAAGCTCCCTGGGCTCTCACATAGTTTGCTGGAGCAATAGGCTGGGCATATGAGGGGCAGAAGAAATGTGATTTATTGAGCACCTACCATGGTATGTGCCAGGCGCTGGGCTGGGCATTTCACATATAGATTTTTCTCATCTGGTCCTCATAGGTCCTTGTGAGGCGGTACCATATGATTCCCATTTTACAAATGAGGTGACAGAAAAGTCAGATAACTTGCCCAAGATCATACAGCTAAGAAGTGGCAGGGCTGGGATTCAAACCTAGGCCTGACTGCTGCCAAAATCCGGTGTCTTCCTTCTGCACCATGCTTGGGGACCATCTACCTCAGCCCCCCTCAACAGTTTTCTGATGGAAGGAACACAGACTTGGGCCTCAAGCAGGCGTGAATTTGAACCTCAAATCAGTCCCCACTCTGCCATTCCGAGTTACATGATGGTGGAGAAATTACCCAGAACTGTTTCTTCATCTGCTAAATGGGGAGAATGAAAGTGGCCACCCCATGGTCTTTGTGAAACTGAAGGAGTGAACGTGTGTAAAGTGCGAAACCAGTGCTTGCCACAGAGCAGACTCAATACACAGAAGTTCCCCTCACCTCCCGCTGTACAGATGGGCAAACTGATGGCCCCAGAGGTGGCAGGGTGTGCCTGAGGCCCTAGGAAAGGAGAGTCTTCCACTTCCGTGTGGTGAGAGGTCAGGCTGGGACTGGATCTGAGACGAGAGAGGGGGCCTGCTGCGAAGTCCTGGGGTCCTCTTCCCTGAGGACTGGAGAGAGAACATCCCTAGACCATGCAGTGCACAGCCTGCGGGCCAAGGTGGGTTGCTGGGTGTAAGGTGACCTGGGCATCCTGGCAACGTGGGAATAAACTAGACCGCACACGTGTGCGCACGAGTGGCTATCTACATGGCTCTACAGAGCGCTACATAGCTATACATATACACATCTTACATACATATACATATATTCATATACAGATCTTGCTACGTTTACAGTAGAAAAAAATGCTAGGCCCTCAGGGCCCTGGCCCTTTTCTCCCAAGGTCGCAGGCATCTGAGGCCCCCCAGGGCATGCCCTGGGGCAGCCCCTTCCTGGGGGCAGAGTGGAGCTCCAACTTACAGCTAAGGGGCTGATGGCAGCTGTTTCTCTAAATGAACACAATGACACATCTGCTCTAAGAACCCCCAACACTGGCCACCCCGACCCCTGCCCAGCCCCGAGACCCCATCTGCCTTTCTCTGGCTTTTGCATTTGGGACCTGCCTGCTCCCTCCTCCCTCCCCCTCCCTCCCTCTAGTGCTGAGTATTAAAATAGTCTATAAAAGCAAGTGACCAAAAATCTATAGCTCTAAGAATACCTGGTTATTTTCTGCTGTCTTTTGATTTTCTGGTGTGTGTGGTTTTTTAAATAATTATTACTGTTATTGGTATATCTCCTAATCACAGTTAAACCTGAAGGAAGAAGGAACGGAGAGAAAAGAAGAAAGAAGAGGGAAGGGCCCAGCTCATAGATTGGACGGCAGTTTGGAGCGCACTGGCTCAGGCCTGGCCCCAGGTTCCCTCTGGGGTCCAGCAGTCAGAGGGGGACCCCCAGAAGAGGTGGCTCTTGCCCCAAACAAAGACAGAGGGGGTGGCAAAGAACCTGAGGATGTCTTCCGAGGCAGAGTGACGTGCTGGCCGGGGATGGCACCATAGGGCCTCCCAGGGGGACCAAGGCCCCCGCTGCTCCCACTGCCCCCGCTGCCACCCCCAGCCCTGGGGAAGAGCGGGAAGGCAGCCATGGACTCCCCTGAGGAGTGCGGGGAGGCTCTGCGGAGAGTCTGTGCCCCGTCCTGAGGCAGGGCTGGCTGAGATGCAGAGATGAGCTTGAGGTCCTGGGTGAGGCGGCCGGGGGTGAGGGGGGGCGTGCCCCGGCGCTGGGGGACCTGGGGTGGTGGGGGGCTGGATGCAGGTGGCAGAAGCAAGGATCCGTGGGAGCCAGAGGCCCGGGGTGGGGCACTTGGGAAGGTTCTTGGGGGGCCTGGGCTGTGGCCAGGGGGGCTGAGACCTCCTCGGGGAGTAAAGCCTACAGGGGAAGCCCCCCCAGAGGCCCCTGCCACAAGGGATGACGGCTCAGGCTGCCGTGGGGGTGTCTCTGGCGTGCTCGGTGGGCCAGCAGCCAGACCTAGGGACAACTCCCCGGGAGGCTGGCCCAGCTGCCCAGGGCTAGATGATGGGGATCTGGATGAGGGTGGGGGTGGCAAGAAGTGCTCCGGGAGTCCCAGGCCTCCCCGGGCCCCGGGTGGTGCCGGAGGTGGCTGGGCAGCCTGTGGGGAGCGGGCGCCTGGCTGCAGCGGGGTGAGCAGGGGAGAGTCGGAGGAGGACAGGGAGCCGCCCAGTGCCTTGTGGAAGTGGCCAAACCCGGCTGTGGTGGTGGCGGCTGTGCCAGCTGATGGTATGGGAGCCGAGGGGGAGCCACAGGCCCCGGCGGGTGGGGAGGAGCTGGATGAGGGCAGGAGTGGGCTCAGTCCGGCGGGGGCAGAGAATCCAGCCAGCTGTTGGATGTGGAAGGAGGATGAAGACGGCGTGTCTACCTGGGATGGGCTGCTGGCGGGCGAGGCGGAGCCCAGCGCAGAAGGGATCAGGGACTGCAGCCGTTTCAGGTGCCTTGGCGTCTGCCCGGCGCCGAGGTTGCCCAGCCCAGATCCTGGCGGAGGGCGGAAGATGGCAGCAGGCAGGCGAGGGTGGTGGGTGAGGGCTATGGCCACAGAAGTGGTGGCCGCAGCAGCCTGCAGTGGTGCCTGGATCAGTGGGGTCCAGATGACAGGCGTAGGGGTCGGGGTGGCAGAGGCGGCGGCCTGGACGCGGTGTGCGCAGTGCGCCATCTCCCGGTCGTGCTGCACAATCTGCTGGATGATCTCGTTCTCCTGGTAGTTGAAGACGCCCGAGTTGAGGTCGTGCTGGACTTTGTGGAGGAGGATGGAGTTCTTCTTGCCTGGGCCACGGAACAAGAGCAAGCACTCAGGGCAGAGCGGGGAAGGAGATCAGGTGCAGACCCAGCTTAGGCATAGAGAAGCCCTGCCCTCCTGCCCCTCCCGCCCCCCGCCTGCCCTGCCTGTGGCCCATCCCCCTCACCGATGCGGTCCAGGCGGTCCAGCGCCACAGTCTCAAAGGCCCTTCGCATCATGGGGTACTCCTCCAGCACCTCATTGAAGTTGTCCACGCTCAGCGAGTAGAGGCGGCAGTAGGTGTCGGCCCTCACGCTAGCTGTGCGCCGGCCCCGTGTCAGCAGGCAGATCTCTGCCAGAGCATCAGGACTCAGGGTGAGGCACGCACAGCCTGCCCAAGCCACAGGGACTGCCCACCCTGACCTTGGCCCTGACTACCTGGCACAGAAACCTTGGTAGGCTCACAAGGCCCTGTCCCCAGACTGTGGCCACACTGGATGCCTCTTCCCCACCAAATGGGGGCTGGACAGTCTTTCCCATCTTTGGGACATACCCTCTGCTCTGGACTGAATGTCATCCCACCAAATTTATATGTTGAACCCCTAATTCCAGCATGATGGTATTTGGAGGTGGGGCCTAGGGAGCTAATTAGATCATGAGGGTGGAGCCCTTGTGGATGGAATTAGTGCCCTTTTAGGAGGCGGTCAGGGAGCTAGCTCATCCTCCTTCTGCCACGTGAGGACACGGCGTGAAGTCAGCAGTGCAGCCCAGAAGAGGGCCCTCACTAGCCCCAACCATGCTGGCCCCCTCAGCTCAGATGGTCAGCCTCCAGAACCATGAGACATACATTCCTGTGGTTTACAAGCCACCCAGTCTGTGGCACTTTTGTTACAAGAGGCCCAGACTGACTAAGACACCCCTAACCCGGGCTCACAAACACTTCCCTCCAGGCTGTGGCCACGAAGGGTGCTCACTGCCTGTGTCCCCTTAGTGTCTCCCCAGCCCATCCCCTGGGAGCAGCTGTCCTGTCCCCCAGGGCCCGGGGCTGCCTCACCTCCAAAGTAAGAGCCGTCGGCCAGCTTGGTCTCCTTGTTGCCCTTGGTGAGCACGCTGACCACGCCGTGCTGGATGAAGTACATCTTCTTGCCGATGGTGCCTTCCCGGATGATGTAGTCCCCGGGCTGGAAGACCTCGAAACGCAGCTTGGTCAGCATGGACGTCACGAAGTTGGGGTCCGCGTTGGCAAATAGTGGCATGGAGGCCACCAGCTTCCGGCAGTTAAAGTTGATGATCTCCTGCCGGACAGGGTGGATTGGGACACAGGAAGGAGGAGGTGAGGGGAGCTGGCTGCCAGGAAGGCCTGGCTCCCCTCCCCGCCGGGCCGCTGCACAGCTCACCTCCCGCAGGGGCTCGCTCAGCTCGCCCAGGATGCTCTCCTCGTCGAACATCTTGCCCTGGTAGCGGTGCTCATAGTAGTCGTGGATGCGCTGCCGGGTGTCGGGCGGGAGCTTGTGGAAGGACATGTACTGCTCCACCTGCTTATACTGAGGCCGGGAGAAGGGGGCGTCATCTCCGTGCAGCCAGCCCCACCGCCTCAGCAGGCACCACATCCAGGCACCCACTCTGGGGGAATTCTTGGCTAAACTTGGTTCCTTGAGATCTGAGCTCTACAGTGTTGAAATGACCTCACTGTGCTCCCAACAACTGCCCGGGCTCCCAGCTGCTTGGCATGGAGGAGGCGGCCCCACCAGCATCTGGTCCTGTGTTTAATACTAAGGAGGTGGGTGGGGGCAGCAGGGAATGTCCAAAGCCCAGTGACAGGACACCAACTGTATCGCCAGGGAGGTCCATCACGTTTCCTTGGAATGTTTACACTGGGGACAGGGAGGCCTCACCGACTGTGGGGAAAGAAGCTGTTTCCTCCCAGCAGTGACAACTGGCACAGTCAGGAGGCGAGGCTGCAACGGCTCAGAACGCTCAGAGGCAGAAGCAAGGATGCCTGGCTGCTCTACACTATGAATCCAAACGCGGCCTCAGCTGAGACCCCGGGTCATTTCATTGAGAGCAACTCCAGGCAAGGGAAAAGCAGGGTAGACTAATTTGAGGCAACCTGCAAATAGAGGCTCGGGTACGAAAGATTTGTGAGCCTCAGACCCTGGGGCTCAAATAAAAAATGATCCTGCCCACCCTTGCTGAGAGCAGTGGATGTTGCTCCCACCATCGTAGATTGTGGGTGGACAGTGGGACTCTCAAGAGCAGAACGAGGGATGGGAGGTATTGATTAGGCAACAACACAGACTCCTCCCTGATGGGAAGCAGAGGAAGTCCCTATAACCCCAGCAGCAATCAGAAATGGGGCAGCCTGTTTGCATCTATGCGTGCTCCCAAGAGGTGGGGACACAGAACTGCTGCACAGAAATACCCACAGGCAAATGAGGGCTGAGAAATGACATTTCCTAAACTTTGTCCAGCCACCCTGGCCTCTGATTGCTCCAAGTTATGCAAAGTCCCAGGGGACAGTGACTTCCCGGCTGGTTATAGGGGCAGAGGCAGCTGGAAAACTTGGAGCTGTGTTTTAGAGAATCCCTACCCTGATCCCCAGAGAACAGGTAGGGGTGGGGAGGCAGGGTCTAGACATGGGGCAGGAGTTAAAAGGCTGAAGTGGTCCAGGTGAGAGACAGACATGGGGATGCAGGGGAGGGAAGACATCTAAGAGAAATTTATCGGGCAGACTTAGATATGAGCCAAAGGAAAAACATTTTAATAAAAGTCTCAAATCAAAAGCCACAGACACCTTGACTCTGGCCCTAAAATAAACTCTAATGCATTTTCTTTTATTTTTATTTATTTATTTGTTGTTGTTGTTGTTAAGACAGGGTCTTGCTGTGTCACCTAGACTGGAGTGCAGTGATGTGAACACAGCTCACTGCAGCCTTAACCTCCTGGGCTCAAGTGATTCTCCCACCTCAGCCTGCTAAGTAGCTGGCACTATAGGCATGCGCCACCAAGCCTGGCTAATTTTTGTATTTTTAGTATAGACAGGGTTTTGCCATGTTGCCCAGGCTGGTCTTGAACTCCTGGGCTCAAGAAATCAGCTTGCCTCAGCCTCTCAAAGTGCTGGGATTACAGGCATGAGCCATCATGCCCAGCCTCCCAGATGCTTTTTCTCTTTTTTTTTTTTTTTTTTT